CACGCTCCAGGCTCTGAGCTGGCAGTCAGCACAGAGCCCGACGCGGGGCTCGAACCCACGAACCGCGAGATCATGACCTAAGCGAAAGTCGGACGCTTAACCGACTAAGCCACCCAGGCGCCCCGGCATGAGTACTTTTAAAGGATCCTTACCGTGTGACTCCGTAGAAGCTTGTTCCATTCAATAAATCCATTTCGGTCGGAGATAGAAGTGTGGTAGGTACACGGAAGGGTAACGCTCTTGCCCCGGGCAGCCCGGAGAGCATTGCGTGGGGTTTCCACAGAGATGGCATTGACGGTCACCCAGACTGGAAAGAAAGCGGAAGCGGGAAGAAGTAAATGACACGGCAGAGCCACTCGTTGCCTGTAGGACTGCTGAGGGACACCCCTCCCCCCGCACTCACAGCTAGGCACCATCACGCTGTGATCTTGGCCATGGCGCACCAGCTGTTCTCTTCGAAGACTAGGGCGAAGGCAAACGTGTGGCTTGGTTCACCCTATACCCATCCCACAGCATCGCGAAGAAGTTCAATGCATTGTGTGTGGTAGTTAAAAGCCTGGCTTTGAGCCTCAGCCCCACCTCTTACCAGCTGCGTGAACATTTCTCATCCATCACATAGGAAGATGGATACTTCCTAGAGCTGCTGGGAGAGCTTAATGAGATAATATGTATAGATACGTTTTTAGTCCCCGTCCCGTAGACAGCTCTTGGTAAATATTCCTCACCGTCTTTTTTGTTGTGATGATGCCACAGTCATTCATTTAACAAATTTTTATACAGCGCGTACATGTGCTAAGGAGTCTTATAAATAAGATCAAGGTAAAGCACCAGAAGGCATTCCCAGGGTTTATCAGGAAACGGTGTCCCAGGTGAGTTTATTCTACATAAGTTTATCAGGAAAAGGTGAGGAACCCAATGTGGCCACACCAGTATGTCTCACCATGTATAGTCATCTTACCACACGACGGTAACTCTCCTCTGTGTCCTCCCTTCTTGGACCTCGGTGAGCCCGTGACTGTGGTGTGAGTGGCACCATCATGCTAACTTGTAAGAGGCCAACAGCTTTGCCTGGTCTCTTGAGACGCTGACTCAGGGAACCCAATCAGCCTTCAGTGAGGAAGGGAAGCAGCCACACGGATAGACCAGGTGCCAGGTATTTGGGACACAGCCCCAGCTGAGGTCCCCGGGCAGCTGTCATCAGTTCCCAGCAGGTGCCTGAGCAAGTTCAGCCACCGAGGGCGGCCGAACGGAGCTAACCCTGCAGAACCCACCCACAGTGAAGATTCCCGAGCAAGACACACTGGCATCATTTTAAGACACTTAAGTTTTGGGGTGGTTTGGTTTGCAGTAGCGGGTGATTAGAGCAGAAAGCCATGTGGATCGTTGTCCTGAGAACTTTCTGGGCAGGAGTTAAGTGTGGTCCACGTGAGGGACAGCAGGGAAGACACGGGGCTTGAGGGGGAAGGGAGGTGGAGAGAGGAGACAGAGAAGTAGAGAGGTCTGGGGTCACACTGGGTCGCGTAGCACATAGTGGGACTTTATCTTGTACTCTGGGGGCGTGGGAAGCCCTTGGAGGGATTTAAGCAGACGTAATATGTTTGACATACATTTTTAAAGCATCATCCCGGCTGAAGCGAGGTGAGGAAGGGGGGTATTGGGGAAGAGAATGGAAGCGGGCCAGACGTTCCAGGGGCTACTTCAGGGGCCCAGAGGCGCAGCTGTGGCGTGGGCACACCTCATGCCAGCGCAGGGGGGGAGAAGCCACCCAAATCGGAACGTCTGTAGAAAACAGCCAAGGGGATTTGGTGGCACATCGGATGTGACGTGTTGGAGGCAAAGAGGAGTCAAGGGTCTGTCCCGGGTTCCGCCTGAACAGCTGGGAAGGTGGGACTGTCCTTGACGGAGACGATGGCCAGGTGATGGCGGCTGAGGGAGGGGCAGGCTTCAGGGGGAAGATCGGGGGTTTGTCTGGGGACGTGTGACGTTTGAGATGCTTATTAGACACCTCGCAGAGGTGCCGAGGAGACGGTTGTGCAAGTCTGAGGTTCCCTGGAGAGGTCTTTGAAGGCCAGAGGATGTGGGGGGAGAGCGGGGAGGCATCCGGGACGGAGCCCTGGGCGCTTCAGGGCACAGCGGTGGCGAAAACGAGGAGAAACCAGCAGGGGGGGAGGAGAACCGGCCACGGAACTAGGAGCCAAGAGGCCGAGCAGGAAGCGTCTCCTGAACACAGAGGGCGTCAGTCACTCCAGTGCTGCTGAGCCGCTGGGCCACGGACCCGGGGACTCACAGGTGACCGCGGGAGGCGGTAACATGGAGGCGACCTTGGTTTGAGCACATTTCATGGGGTGGAGAGGACAGAGCCTGGGAAATGGGTTCAAGAGCAGATGGGATGAGAGGAAGAGGAGAGCTTTTGCCAAAAGGGAGCGAGAGAAAGGGGGCCGTGGGGGCTAAAGTGGTCTGTAGGGTCGAGAGAGGTTTGTGGCTTCTTGAAAATATACGTCTGATGATTTAAAAAAATATTTTTTTAATGATTTTTATTTATTTCTGAGAGAGAGAGAGACAGAGACAGTGTGAGCAGGGGAGGGTCAGAGAGAGAGGGAAGTACAGAATCCGAAACAGGCTCCAGGCTCTGAGCTAGCTGTCAGCACAGAGCCCGACGCGGGGCCCGAACCCACAAACCGTGAGATCATGACCTGAGCCAAAGTCAGACGCCTAACTGCCTGAGCCACCCAGGTGCCCCTAAAAAAATATTTTTTATACGCAGCCCTGTCTTTCTCTTCTGTGGGATCTCTGCGTCCCTACTCAGCGAGTGACACAGAAGTACCAGCCACGACATCTAATCTGTGATGAGAACAGTAATAGCAGAGGAGCTCATTTCTAGAGCCTTCCAACCACCTCCCTTTCTCCTTCCTTACGTGGGTCTCCAGTGGGTGTCTCGATCCTATCGGTCCAGAGCCCACCTGCCCCGTGCAGCCCCCACCCCCACCCCTGCTGCGGCCTGAGAGCTGCGTGCCTCACGCTCCAAGCGTTCTCGCCCCCCACCCCCTGCTCTCTGCAAGCCGGAGCCCCTCTCCTATTCACGAAGCGTCTGGCGCTCAGCTAATTCCCCACGAGGGGTTAAAAATGAACAGGTCAGGGTTGTGTTAACCTCCCCAAGGACATAAGAATCGGGAAAGTGAATGCTTTCACCTCTCGGAAGGAATGCACCCACTACCCGTGAGTACCCGCCTCTTAGCACTTCTGACTCGTGACAGCTTATCACACAATAGGGCAGAGTGGCCACGGGCACAAACGTGGGAGCCAAGCTGCCCAGGCTGCCGTCTTCACTCTTACTTTTTCTAACTGTGTGACCTCAGGCAACTTACTTAACTTCTCTGGGCCTCCGTTTTCTCGGCTCTAAAAGGAGGATAATGGTATGAGCTAATTCAAGGCTGTTGGGGGGCTGCCCGACTTGGCCAGTTGGCATGAATACCCTCCCCCCGCACACGGGAGCCACGTCCTCCTCTGCTACTCCGTGTCTTCATCTGCGTGTCCCCAGGGCGCAACCAAGTGCCCACACAGAGGCGCTCAAGGAGGCGCTCTTCCTCAGCAAACCAACGGGCTGTAGAGAACGTGAGCTTCACAGACGGGGAGGATTCACGGCCAGAGAAGCTTCTCGGAGGACGGAGAACGTGTCTTCCTGATTACTAGAAAATGCCAAAACGTCAAAGGACCAAAGGAGCCCCCAGGGAGGGAAGCCGAGTGTGCAAGCCGCCCTGGGGTGGGGGGGGGGGAGGAGGAAGGCCAGCTCCACCTCCCTGAAAGGGCGGAGCGGGACGGCCTGTAGGTACGGAAGGCTCGGGAAGAAGACGGTAGCCGGCCCCCTGAGGGCTCACGGGAAAGCAGCCCCTCCCGCAGGATAATGAAGTGCTTGGGGGCCCGGCCGCCGGAGGCCTGCGCAGCGCGGTCGGAACCCTCGGGAACCCGGCCTAATGCTCCCACTTAGGAAAATCCATTTGCTCCGAGAAACCACACGGTTACGGGGGAGGCGCTGGAGGCCAGAGGGGGCCCCGCCGGCCCAGGGCCAGGCGCTTGGCCTCGAAAAAGTGTTAGTCCCCTGGAGGGGGAGGGGCAGCTCACCCGGGCAGGCGGGCCATGCTGCCTCCGCTGGC